CTCCCCAACATTCTCCTCCCACTTAAAAGGACTACAGGTACACGTCCTACACTACTCCTAGCCCACCTTTCTCTCTCTTGGCCGTTATGGCCTACAACGGTTCAGTATCTAATTACCTCCTTACCCTTATCCTTCCCCTTTCCCTTCCTATGGTAATTATTGATAATTGGGGGTCTAACAGAGTACTTTAGGAAGATTTTATCATGAAATATCCAAGGCCTTGGAGTTTACAAGTAGTGGTTGGCTATCAAGAAATCCATCAAAACTCATTGTCCTGATATAATTTTCTTTCAAGAAACCAAGCTGAAACAATTCAATACTAAGTTCATCAAATCATGTAGAGTTCTAAAGATATTGGCTGGGCAGAACTTGATTACATTGCTCTAGTCCAAGCAACAAGGAGGAGATTTCAAAATGACAAAGTGGTCATCAGAATGTTCATCAGGAAGAAGTGTAACTAGAGAAAAGAGAAAGTTCAACGGTAAAATCATTGACTTAGATCTTCTATAAATCCCTCTCTTCGTAGCTAAATGATATGATCTCTTTGAAGACAGTGTGCTTGGGTTTATAAAATCCTCAAGGGCTGGTTTAAAATCATCTGAGGAGATTCTAGGTTCAAAGATTTTTTAATTTGCTTTGGTTGGTTTGTTTGTGTTAGTCTTGACATTATTCAATTCATTCAAAAGTGGCGTTTCGGATTGCATCAATGATAGATTTATCTAAAGCTTCTTTTCCATATTTATTGTTTAATTAGATTGTATTTCCCGCCCATCTACTTATCTTTCTTAATCTTAATGCAATACTCCAAGTGTTAGTTGTTACTAGAGCCTTTGCATAGGAGGCAACCTAAAACTATGGTCTAATGCAGTGTATGCTACTCTTTTGGAGATTGTGGTTCAAGAAAAATCAAAGAATTTCAGAAGGATCGAATCATGTATAAAGAACTTTTGGGACCTTATAGTTATAGAACTGTTGTCTTCTTCTTGGTGTCTCCTTTCTAATAGTTTTGGTAATTATGAGCTATTTTTTTAACATAATTCTCTGTTTCCTATCCAGAAAAAGATGGTCAAGTCAAGTCTTATTACTTATTACATATTTGGTTCATAGAAGAATAGTAATATTACCAGACACGGTAACTTTTTCACCTTCTGCCAATGGACGAACAGCCTGTTAATAAGAGAAAAAATAGTATAAGAATGTAAGAACACTGGGTAATGTGACTATCCCATTTGCATGTTCTCGATAACTAAGCTACAATATTCCCAACCTGATCAGCTACTATCCCATTTAGTTGCCTCGCCAGAATTCCACGACTTTTCAAACTTCTCTCTGATGCCATTGCCTTGTCAAGCTCTAGACCATCCTAATCAACATAAAATTTAGTATTAAACAACAATCACAAATTAGTTGGAAAAATAATATGCAACCTCAATGGTGACTCATTTTCCAGCTGGGGAGGCCTTTTAAAATTCCTCCCCATGTTATTTTCCTTTGCCAAGGGATGTCGTTTCCTTTTTTTTCCCCAATACGTGACAAGATGTGCTGCCAAAGAAACAGGGATACAGCCTGAAAAGCCATGGGGGAGAGGGATCCCTCTGCCTGGGAGATTAGAAAATTTTCCTTTAAAGAGCTGTTGAGGTGGTGAGACTTATAAGCTAGGAAACACGGACACTTATTTTTGGGCGAAGTATCTGTGTCGGACACGTGTCCGACACGGATACGCCCGGACACGTGTCAGACACGCCAAAACGCGTGTCTGATTTTTTTTAAAATCAGACACAGCTGGGACACGGCTGGGACACGGCCTGGACACGGCCTTGGAGGTTTTCTGGGCCCAAATAAAAAGGCCCAATGCCCATGAGTAATTTAAAAAAAAAAAC